TACCTTCCATACCACCCAGTTAAATATCTGAAAAAGCCGTGTAAGGTGCGCCGTTTCCTTAACGGGCTGCTAAATTTCATGGCACATCCTTAAATCAATCCCTATTGGTGGGTCCAGACCTACTCCAAAACCTGATTTTTGCACTATTGCGCTTCCGCATATATAGAGGGTATATTTCTCCAGTAAGGAGTTCGCAACCAATCTTCGCTTCAATTTTTTATGGCTGGAGAATTTCACATCGGACGTGGTAGTCCATCAGGACACTCGCCATATATTCGGTGCCCATGACTCGCCGACATTCGCGAAATACGCTTTGTAAAAAACAGAAATTGGTAACCAGTCCACATATCGTGATCCAGCATCAGTGTTTTCCGAAAATTTTCTTATGGACGAATACTTGGATTTGTACAGAGACATTAATTTAGTCGGGATTTGTTCAAAATGATTGAAATTTGTAATTTTGAAGAAATAGGATTCGCAATGATTCGCAATGAGACAGTAATTTTGAAGAACTAACATTCGCTTTGAATCCCGATGTCAATGAGACACCTTCATCGGATAAAGCCATGTGTAATGCGGAACAATCGTTGCACGTCTCAAGTTTTGAATTGGATCATGTGAAGGACACATTGGTTGTGAGCCGAGGTGTTGATCGCCCTCTCGATAAGGCGATAACTCAACGAACCGTTTTGAGTTTTGTATCTTCGGTATTCGACCCTATCGGATTATATGCGCCGTACAACGTAATGAGTCGTCTTTTATATAAAGAAATATGGCGAATAAAGGGTCAAAAATGGGATGATAACTTACTTGAAGAAACAAGGAAACATTGTTTCTTTAGCACTCCGGCCTTTTTCTGTTAGGTCAACTGACTCTCTTCCCGCAGTTACTCCACAGAACCTGTGGATTGTATCGAGCTTCACAAGTTCTGTGATAGCTCGCAGGATGTTTTCTGTGTCGTCGGGCGACTCATAAGCTCGCACAAAAATGATACCTTTTTTGTCTTCGGTAAAGCGCGTGTTGCGCCAATAAGATCTTTGCCAAAACTCAAGTTAGAAATTTGAGCTGCTCTTCTTGCCACACGGTTACAAAATGAAACTGTGAAAGCAGGAACGTTTAAAGTGAACGATATCATTATGTGTTCCATTAGTACCACCATTCTGCGTTGGCTTTATTCTAATGATAATTTAGTTGTCTTTGTCGGAAACCGCCTCGGTGAAATACACGAATCTACCACCATTGACGAGTGACACCATGTTCTGCGCGGCTATAATCTAGCTGATACCGGTACACGGGGGCTTCCTCTGGAAGCCGTCATTGATAGCAGCTGGGTTATGGACCGATCGTTCTTAGGACTAAGGATTGGTTGTGTAAACCTTATCAAGAGGAGATCAATAAAATCCGGTTAAAGGGTTCGTCATGCAATTTCGATAATTATATAGAGACATCATCTACCTTCATCACCGTTGTTGCGTCAATCAAAACTCCAGATCTTGGATTTGAATGGGAAAAATTGGTTCTTTTACACTGCAAACGCTAACCATTGCCTTTATGTTAAGGCTTCTGCCGTCTCATGCATATTTTTGCGGTATCAGAATTGAAACCACCGATCATCTTGAGCTGGATATTGCGGAGAAGAAGCTTATACAACTTGCGCAAACCGACTCATTTCCCGTTGAAATGAAATTACTCGCATGTGATGAACCAAATAAGAGTGATGGCGAGATTGCCTCGTACTCCCCGTTCTTGGATCCGGCTGGTATCCTTCGGTCTGCTGGCCGCATAAGTCGCTTAGTTGGCATGTTGGTACCAAGTTTGATAGAAAACAACCCAGATTGTTCGACGCCCGCCTCCTCCTTCAGCATTTTCATCAAGGGTTGGACTACATGCGCACCGTGATTAACTTGAAGTAAGCTATACTGAGGTTGCTTCGACTGCTGAAGTCTACTGAAAACCATTGCGTTACATGTCGAAAGTGGAAAACAACCACAGTCACACCGATTATGGTCGATTTACCTGTCGAACGCCTCGGGTATATGCAGCCACCTTTTCCTCCACAGTTGTGGACTATTTCGGACCATATAATCTTAATATTCGAAAGAGCATTTGCCTCACCACCAGGGCTGTAGACCTCGAGGTTATAGCACCACTAGACACAAGCTAGTGTGTGTTGAGCATCGAGCTATTCATCGAGCGCCGTGGTACACCCAGCACTTTTTAGTCGAATAACGGAACCTACTTTGTTGGTGCAGAAAAGGAACCTCTTACATGTATCAAGAACTAGAACAGCATGGCTCCAACCGTCTCTGCACATAAAGTTATAACTTGGAAGTTTAATCCTCCCAGTGCACCCCATCGTGGCGACTCTTGAGCGTATCTCGTCCGTAGCAGTGGAAGTGTACTCCGTGATATACTAGGCAGTAGGCGGGTGACAGAAGTAGTTTAAGGAACAACACTCAGCTTAGTGGAGCAGGCTTTGCTTGCAAGGCCGATCACTCCGGTAATTACCAATTAGCGTGATTTAGAAGCCTTAAACCTTAACCGTTTTTTGTTTGGGTAGTACTTCGCAAGTTTTCCTTCGCTCTCTCCTTGGGAATACTCGATCATAAAAAAAGGTACGTAAGCGCGCAGTCAAACGCTGACACTATATGGTCTCATTGGCTACGAAATATGTCTAATTAATTAACAAGCTCGCGAATTGGAAGCTCAATATGACATAAATCTAAAAACGGGTGATCTCGTGTGAGTAATTGAGCCCGACAGCCCGCGAGGATTTTACCCTCTTGCTCGCATCGTTGAACTTAACTACGGCAAAGACGGATGCGCAAGTTCCAAATTCAACACAGCCACGAGCGAACTTACCCGACTGATCGCCAAGCTAGCCCCAGTTCTTGCGTTTTTGGTGGTGTAGGATGTCGCAGCGTAAAAGTAAACGCGAACGTAAATAAGAGTGAAAAGCTTTTACTACAACAGGACTATTGCCTAGCGTATATGACATCGGGCAAACCTCCGGTCGACCGGGTTCGAATTCCCCCATACGCTAACCTTTATACATATATACTCGAGAGACTATATACACATTTGACCATTTTAACTGTTTTTTCTCTCAAATCCGATTCAGACGTGAATAAGTTTGACCTCCAAAAAAAGCAAGTTGTCTCAAGGGCAAATACCAATCTTTTGAGAGCTTGCTTCGAGTTTGCAGTTATAAATTGTTGTTGTTAAGGTTGATTTAAAAAAGCGAAAATTATTGTTTTAAGAGTTATTTACCGAAGAATTACTCTTTATAAATCAAGTACTTCTCATTTTTAGATTTTTTTGAGACAATGGCTGATTGGAGCGGGCACAAAACTGTTTACTTTGCATATCAACTTTCGTATTTGTTTTTAAACTAATGTATGCGTGATAGCTCTCAATGCTGTAAGATGTATGTTTTGATATTCTTCAGACTTCATTTAAGCCAGGCGTTAAATTTTTGGGCATAAAATGAATTTTATTTCTGCTGGCGATATGTTTTGATTGCGTCCGATTTAATTTTCGATCGTGCTTGAGGTATGTTTTGATCCTGTTTGATTTGCATTACGACTGTGCTAGAGGTCTGATTTGATCATGTGCGATTGATTTTTCAACTTTGCTCAAGGTTCGTTTTGCATTGCAATCGATTCATGTTTCTACAGTGCTCAAGATATATTTCGACTGTACTCAATTTATTGCGCGATTGTGTCAGTTTTTTTGTTTCTACCATGCTGTAGGTATGTTTCGACCATGCAAAGGATTTTTTTTTCGATCGTGTCTGAATTATTTTTTTTTTGCAGTACTCGAAGTATGTTTCGATCGTGTCCAATTTATGATATGTTTTGACTGTGCTCAAGTTATCTTTCGATCTTGTCCAATTTTGGTTTCTACAGTGTTCAAGTTCAGCTTCGATTGTGTCCGATTTATATTTCGACCTTACTCGAGGTATGTTTCGAACGTGTCGGATTCACCTTTCAATTGTGCTCGAGGTATGTTCTGATCGTGTCCTAATCATTTTTCTTCCGTGCTCGAGATTTGTTCTGATCGTTTCGGATTCATGATTCGACCGAGCTCTATGTTTATTATGATTGTGTCCAATTCGAGGTAAGACCGTGCTCGAGTATGTCTTGATAGTGTGCGATTAGGTTTCTATTATGCTCGAGGTATATTTCGATGTTGCTCAATTTGTGCTTCGATCGTGCTCGATTTATGATTCGGCCGTGCTCGAGGTTCGTTTCGAAGGTGCTCGAGGTATTTTGTGTCCGACTTATGTTCCGACCGTGCTCGAGGTATGTTTCGATTTATGTTTCGACCGTGCTCGAGGTTCGTTTCGAAGGTGCTCGAATAAATTTTGACTATTCTCGAGGTACGTTGATCGAACCTGATTCGACCCTGGTTCGACCCAAGTTCGACCATCAGACCAAAATCAGGTAGTATTTCTGGTCTGGGAAATTTCGCTGGTCGACCGACTTCTGTCTGATCATATTTCGACGAATTCGACCCGGGCTTTGAAAGTCAAAACACAAAAAAGTATGTGAAGTCTTTTGAAAACCATTAGTCTATTATATGCCTTTCTAATGATGACTTATTTTTGTTTGATGTGCTTCATTTCAAAATCTCCAGTCCGTGAAGTCTTTTGAAAACCATTAATCTTTTATATGCCTTTCTTACGATGACTTGTTTTTGTTTGATGTGCTTCATTTCAAAATCTCCAGTCGTTTTTTTTTCTGATTTTAAAGACATGCTACACAGTATATATGTGTAAACACGTATAAGAGTAGAGAATTAATGCAGACCACATTAAATTCTTCAGAATAACAAATGAGATAATACTAAATGTACAGATAAAACACTGTATTTTTCATACGCAACAAGACCACCTACAAAAAGCGGCGAAAACTAATAAACCAATTATTTAAAAAAATAACTTGCCGCTAGAAATTGTTCGATGAATTTATAAGCAATGAATTGACTGCATGTAAATAATGGACTGTGAACATCTAAATGAAGTAGCCCAGGGAGAGCAGGAGTTATTGGTTCTAAGAGCCGAACTAGAGGAAAACCGACGAAAATACGCAGAGATTGAACGCCTGTTGAAAGATTTGCAATCTGCTGTGGATGCACAGTCTGATTCAGTTAAATTGGCACCTGCGATTGATTTTTTCAACAACGGAAAATTCGCAGAATGTTTCTCATCAATCGCAGAACTTGAACTTATTACTGATGCGTCGAGTTGTTATGAAAAGTCACAATTTCTCAGGGAGCACTCTTCAAGTTTGAACATTGAAAAATTTCACAAATATTTATTCAAGCCCGCAAACGAAAGCGTGCTGAAACACTACATCTGCAGCATCAACATAAGTGGACTTAACTTGTTACAGTCTGTTCGACAGTGTTTCGAAGCATTGCGATTCACAGAAGCGGAGGCAAACGTCATATCATTTATTTACAAAAGCATTTCTGAGAGTTACTTCCGGCAGAACGAAGACGAAGCTGTGAAGCATTTCGGGACGAAGGATGTGTGTGAGTTCGCGGCTGGCGCTGTAGTCTTCGTCAACACCTCTTTGAACAACTCAAGTGTGAAGGCCAAAGACCGAATGACCGAAGATCAGTTTGCTAATTTCGGTCAATGCGATGAAGTGAAGCACTGGCATCCAGGTGGTATCCAAAGAGACTACATGGTTAAGCTTTACCGCGAGATCAAAGAAAACCCACTCCGGTTCAACTGCAAACGCGACCAGGACTCTTCTACAGGCACCGAGGTGAAAGTGATCAAAAGTGGCTTCCTGGAAAAAGAGGGAGGAGAACGGAAGTCCTGGACTAGAAGATACTTCGTGTTGCATTCGGATATTCTCTATTATTACACAGACGATACCACAACGAGCCCAAAAGGAATCATTGTTTTGCAGAACCTTGAAGTGAGCAAAGCGGATCATGACAAGAAGAAGTTCTGCTTCCAGCTGACCAGTCTTGATGGCTCCATGATCACTGGTTCCAAGTCCAACTCAGACGGTGGTCAAGTTTCTGGAAAGCACTGGAGGTACTTGATGAGTGCGACGAGTGAGGAACTGAGAGACAGTTGGGTGTCTGCAATTCACTCTACTCTAAAAGTGGACATGATTCATGCGTTCCAATCATGGAGACTACAAGATGACAGAGGAGCAGACAGTCACAACAGAAGCAGCAGATACGGAAGACAACAGTCCTTTGAGAGTAGAGCTCCTGTCTGTGGCAGACCGAGAACCCCAGTCGGACCACGAAGTAGACTATCACCACTCGCCAACGTCAGAAAAAATCTCAATTTTTAACTTCTTGATTTAATTTACACAAGACTAAAAATTAGTTTTTTTAACTGTAGCAATTTGTAAGACTTTTGTTTGATTTTTTTTATAAATGATTAATGATTTAATCATAATTTTTTGATGTGTCAGTTTGAATCAGATGCGTTATGGCATTATGAGCAGATAGAATAAAGTTATCTCCTAACTTGACCGGAATTCGTGTCTATCTTAATATAAAAATTAAGAAATAACAATTAATTCTTTTTAAATCAGAACACACTTTTCTACAAGAATCACACGCTCACCTTTGGGAAAATTGCATATTTAAGATACAGATTCTTGTAGATCTCCAGATTACTATTGAAGATTTTTCTTCTCAGCTCAACGCCTCTGCGAGCAGTTTCTCTTCGAAAGCTATCTTTCAAATCACCACCATTCAATCGCCATTTAAAACAACTGACAAAATCTTGTAAAAACAAAAAAGACGCTAATAGAGATGTTCTATTAAGTGTGGATACTGTATGTGGATGTTCATATGTTCATAAATTATATGCGGACGAACAGGATCACAGTGAAAAAGCAGACACCCTTGCTAACTGCGAAGTGAACATAGTTTCATGGTTTCCATCTGATGTCAAAAGATCATTTTTATTTAACCCGGGTTGACCTCCATACACCGAAAATGCTTATCATACAATTCCATACATTAAGTGTGTGGGAAAATGCTTGTCATACAGTTTTCATACAATTTCTAAAAATGGTAGGAAACTGGTATAAACTCGTTTCTGTGGCTGTTTGATTCTAATAAAACAGTCTGGTGATAAAAACTGAGGTTTTCGTTTTTCGAAAAAAATGCTTATCATACAATTCCCATATATGGAAATTGTATGACTGGCATTTTTTTTGATGGCGACACAAAGTAATTTTGAAATTTTGGCCCAAAAATTTTTTGTTTTTTTTTCAACCCCAAATCGAATTTCGTACGCAAACAAACATTTTTCGAAAAAAAATTTTTTGCATGCAAAATTGAACATTTTGTGTGCATAACGTAGTCCAGGATACGATAAAATTGGCTTTTATTTTCTTTTCACTTAAATTTTTTTTTTCAAAAACGCGGAAAATTCCTATTTTTTCTGTATGGGGTGTTAGTGTATGCCTTGATCAATGTCTCATAATTTGAAAATTCAAAAATTTAAAATAATCATCATTAAAAAATTCTGCCAAAAAATAAATGTTTGTTACTTTTGCTATATCAATTGTAAAAGACAGGCATATTCAGGTCGTTTTCTATGCATTGTCAATGCAAGACCGGCCAACCTTTGGTGTTTGAGTAACCAAGGTCTTTGTCACTTGTGTTCAGTTGCAACTACAACCGAAAATTTTTCAGAAACTAAATTTAGAAAGAAAAAATCAAAATTTTTTGTTTATGGAAAAACACACTATCATAAAATTTTCATATATGGAAAAATGCTTATCATAGAGTTTTCATACAATTTTCTGTACGTATGGAATTGTATGAAATTGTATGACAAGAAGTTTCTCATATATGGAAATTATATGATAAGAAGTTTTGGTCAACCCGGGAATGTAGTTAAAGTTATAGATAGGAAATTTACATTTGACCAAAAGGATTTAGAAATCGGTTCTAACGAAACTATTGTGGGTTCGAATAGCTACCTGCCGAATGTATAAATTCATGTAATAATCCAAAATAGTGTACGCAGAACTCTTGAAAAAATTAAAGTCAAGTTCTTGTACGGAAGTAAAGTACCATCGCAGAGACGCAATTAAAAACTAATGATTTTGACAGAATCAAGGGGAAACAGGCATATAATTTCTGAATGCTGATGTTTCTAACAGGTCAATTTAGTGAGTGGCTCCGATTATCGAAGCAGCACTATGGAAAAGCTACGACAATATTTTGAGAGGTATGGAAAAAACCCAATACCAGAAAAATATTACAGCGAGGGGCAGATCTAGGATTTTCTAAAAGGGGGTGACATCGGATTTTCAAAAAAAAAAAATCCCATGAAGACCTTATTTTGATAAAATTTTCTGCGCCGCAGGCAAGTTGAAAACAGCCATTCCAAAATAACAGTGGAGCCAGATCTTAACTAGTATTTATCATTGGTTATTATTATGATATTTTAGCCCTATAAAATATTAAATACTAACCAATCATACTCCATCAAATTAACAACCTATTTTTTGTAAAGTGTTGAAACTACTTGTAGTTTCAACTCGAGAACAGTATGAATTAAACTTAGAATACAGTTGTTCTCATTCTGGAACTAACTCGCGCAAACCGGTGTACACTAGATCTATTGAGACTAAGAGATATAAGAGATATAAATGATTAATGATTTAATCATAATTTTTTGATGTGTCAGTTTGAATCAGATGCGTTATGGCATTATGAGCAGATAGAATAAAGTTATCTCCCAACTTGACCGGAATTGGTGTCTATCTTAATATAAAAATTAAGAAATAACAATTAATTCTTTTTAAATCAGAACACACTTTTCTACAAGAATCACACGCTCACCTTTGGGAAAATTGCATATTTGAGATACAGATTCTTGTAGATCTCCAGATTACTATTGAAGATTTTTCTTCTCAGTTCAACGCCTCTGCGAGCAGTTTCTCTTCGAAAGCTATCTTTCAAATCACCACCATTCAATCGCCATTTAAAACAACTGACAAAATCTTGTAAAAACAAAAAAGACGCTGATGTTTCTAACAGCTCAATTTAGTGAGTGGCTCCGATTATCGAAGCAGCACTATGGAAAAGCTACGACAATATTTTGAGAGGTATGGAAAAAACCCAATACCAGAAAAATATTACAGAGAGGGGCAGATCTAGGATTTTCTAAAAGGGGGTGACATCGGATTTTCAAAAAAAAATCCCATGAAGACCTTATTTTGATAAAATTTTCTGCGCCGCAGGCAAGTTGAAAACAGCCATTCCAAAATAACAGTGGAGCCAGATCTTAACTAGTATTTATCATTGGTTATTATTATGATATTTTAGCCCTATAAAATATTAAATACTAACCAATCATACTCCATCAAATTAACAACCTATTTTTTGTAAAGTGTTGAAACTACTTGTAGTTTCAACTCGAGAACAATATGAATTAAACTTAGAATACAGTTGTTCTCATTCTGGAACTAACTCGCGCAAACCGGTGTACACTAGATCTATTGAGACTAAGAGATATAAGAGTAAGATTAAGATTGGTATTAGACTGAGAAGTTGCACGAATCTATCCGGCCGAAAATAAGATAGCGTGACGAGCAGACGGTGTACCTTATCTGAAATTGATCTATGAGTACAGCAACCTATACATAACTCATCTGGTGCAACCAAAAGTCGCGAGCAGACCTTAACCAAGCCAGAATTAGACAAAAATTTGATTAGATATATTATTCCATAAAAATGTTATATGTCAAAAACTTAAGAGATATGTATCTACGCCTCAATAGATCAGATCCAATATTCCGAACAATGCGAGAAGTACCCGGTACTGGAAGAAGACGTCGAACAAGAAACGCCATACGACTAGGAAGAAACCTACCAACTGATTTCATGATAGTACGACAAAAAACAAAATCAAACTTTTGAATTTAGGATACTACCAGCAGTAAAATTAAATTTTCATTTGCTGACATAATATTTGAAAAATGATTCAAATAACCTTTCATGGCGCTAAACCTAATAATTGTACAAAAACAACTGATAAAAACAACACTTGTCGTTTTCATTAAATCAGCTGTAAATTAAATGGCAACTTGAAAAAACATTTATTAAATATGAAAATACAAAAATTAGATTGTATAAATTATAAATTTTTGTATTAAAATTCATCAAATCATCCCAGCTTCATCAGCTAAAGTAGAACAGCAAAAATCAGAAACTAAAAACCATCAAAACTAACACCCAACTTTAACCCTCTAATTTTGAACTATCAAGGCTTATCCTTACTTTCATTTAAATTAATTTCATTCAAATAACAGATCATCAAGGCTTCCCTTGGATCTTTAAATTAAATTATACCTTAAAAATTAAAATTATAAATATTTAAATCAATGATCATCATGATCTATCCTTGGATCAAATAGAACAATTTTGTTCTCCCCCTTCACATTTAATTAGTGTCTAACGACCTCCAACGTCGATTCACTACCCAACCCTCATCAAAGACCCAAAATTAACAGAAATTTTTCAAAAAACTAGCCATTTTAATTAAGCTAAACAGTGAAGAACTTCGGTCACTCATCCTTCACTTGATCCCACGCTAGATGACCCAGGCTAAATCACTTAAACTTAGTATGTCATAAAATAGTATCTAACGAACTGCTTGCGTTCTAATTATATCTGAACCTTGTGGATCGATTTACTATTCTCCAACCCTTGAGCACAAATCTCAACCCCTAAGTGAGATTGGGTAGGTCCAATCTTAGCTTAGAATTAGTCACCGAGAAAGTAAAAATCATTCTTCGGAATCAATATACGCTTTTCTCTCCAACTCAAATATACGACTCAAGTTAAGCTAACCCCGAAAAGTCGTAAGAACTAACAGTTTAAGGCATTAGAACCCCTAATCCAGATTGCGCATCCTTCATCCTAAACCTTATGTCAGGAGACAATTTAGGAATCAAAAAAACAATCATAATACACAATTGCTTAATAAACGACGAAAAATACGACCTCGCAATCACACCACACATACAATCAGTAGGATACAAAAGAACAAACAGACAAACACTAAGAAAACAAATTTCTAGAAAAAAATTTTCAAAACAAAGAAACGCAGTCTCAGAATCAGAAACAACCGCAATTCACGAACTTCATAATTCAAAAGACTCAATCAACAAAAATCACCAAATAGACGATCAATTATATTTCACAGATTCAGAAACCACATCACCAGCATCGGTAGAAGGCAAACGGAAAAGAAAACATTGCTACACAAAGAAATCAGCACGTTTGTACAATTCGAATCAACCAATAAGACACATTGAAA